TTCTTTCAACACTCACATTGCACAAGAGTATTAGGCACTAAAAAACAACAATGATTGTCACTTAGAATCTGAAATGAAGCTCAATATACAAATACTTTGGGACAAGGATTAGCCATTGAAAGTTGACAGAAAAGATTGGAGGTAGTCTGATGTGCTGAGAAAATATTCTTTAGCCAATTTGGATACCTACAAATGTCAAGAAAAGAGAGAGTGCTCATCTTTTTTATGAAGATAAGGACCCTATCTATAGCTTCTTCATTCATTTTTCAACTGCATCACTCATTTCAACTTTCTATACATTCAAATGCCACCATGGTTTCATCAGTGGTCCATTGAGACCTTTTTCCTGTTAAATATCAATTAAAATATGATAACTTCAGAACCTTAACAAACACTCTCAAGGTCATTTATCAGTTTCTTTCTAACTAGTTCTTGTTCTTAGGTTAACTGCACATTCATCAGCAAGATACTGAACAAAAATAACATAGCAAAGAGAGGTTTTCTAATACTCCTGTATTGGACCCTAACTATGGAAGAAGCATAATTCAGGATATTAAACTCCTCTGCATATCGTAGCATATCGTATAGCTACAAGATACCTTAATAAACAATTGAGAACTGACGATACAAAAAATTAATCTGCAATTCCGTGGAAGGTAAGATATAAAACTGCTAGAGAAACTATGACATCCAACTATTTGCTGAAATATTATGGAGAAAAAAAGGAACTTGCTGAACTAAGTCGGCCTTCTTTTATTAAATCTAAGAAACTAAGTGATGCTTGTGTTCAAGCGAAGATGTGAAGTTCAACGGTCCTTCAATGCGAATCAGAAAGGTCTTCCAGAGTTAAACATTTCACTTGAATCAACTATTGAAACAGCATGTGACACAGTAAACCTGCACTGCGAATGTTCACCCCATAATTCTGACCAATAAAGGATAGCAATGATCCATCTCATAGTTAGGCCAGGAGTCATCACCATTAACGAATCCCTGATGACGTTTCCAAACTTCTGTATGATATATCTCTTCTACGCTGAAACGCAAGCCAATATCTTTCACTTTTAGTAGAAACTTGTCCAATGAATCACCTCTTTTGGGACTGAAAAGTATGGCTTCAGAGGAGACCTCCTTTTTCAGCAACAATTTGATGGTTTCGGCAAGTTCTTGATGGAATTCCTTAAAAAAAGTGCTGCAACATTATAAACGAAGTCAACATATAGCAGAAACTCCTCAACATAATGAAAGGTAAAGCTTTGGATCAGTTTTTTATTTATTATTATTATTATTATTATTTTGACAATAGTGGTGTTTGAGCTAGCTCTGATTTAGTTCTTGTAATAAATTAAAGGGTCCAGTTTAATGAATAACGAAAGAATTAAGAGCTCTAGCTCATTATAGATGGATGCAAAGAAGGAAATATCTTTGACCAATTACCTTATCTGTCAACAAAGATGCAATAAGGTTGTCTACACAATTAAATAAAAGTATACAGTACCATGGAAATTGTTAGACACGTAAGCCAGCAAAGGCACTGTTTGGACTAATATGTGCAACTATTGCGTGTCCTAAAAAGGAATTTCAGCATATGGCATATTATTTCGTTATGCTGTGGTTGACGTTGATTAGTATTGACGTGAAGATAGTGAAACAGAGAAACAAAACACTTCTTTCTGACCTTCATAGAGAATGGTCAATGAGGAAAATATATATATGTACTTTAGTAAGAAAAATAAAGAAGAGAACTACCAGTCACTTGCGATGATAATATCAAATTTGTTGGAGAAATTAGAGTCTTTATCCTGACCCCAATGTAGCATCAATGGCTTCACTTCTGTACTACCAAATCCACCAGAGTTGGCGTTTATATTATGCTGTATATCTGAACATTAAGAAAATGCCAACTAAAGATAATACATGGTAGGAACTGAAGATGACAATAAATTTCTGTAAAATAAATCGTTAGGAATTTCGCTGTTAGCTCTAAATCTAAGGCAGGAACTTTAAAGAAAATGAAAAAGAAAAACATCACCTCTGTCTACTTTCACAAACCCGTCATATGGTTTCGGTTATATTGGAGCCAACAAGTAAAGAACAGTTCAAAATATCAGTAAAAAGAAAAAGTTGATCATAAAAGGGCGTGATAGTCCATTCAGCTACCTCTAATAACAGATAATGATTCTACTCGAGACGCATACTAGGTCAACCAAATTGTATGTCTTCAGATATTGAGAGAATGGTTAGCAATCACAAGTCTTTGTGCTTGTTCCTCCTTACTCATATAAGGATGGTCCCCGGGAATATAAGAGCAACCACCCCAATGTAGGTTGGTACTGATGAATCTAAAAAGTTGAAGAGAGAAAAAGAAGCTTAAAAGCACAGCATCTTATCATCACGTATTTGTGTCAAAAAGTGGTCGGTGGCCAGTGGACAAACTAAGTGTTATTATTATGCTCATCTAGCCATTGGAGAAAAAGGATACAACCAACGACTTGAGGATTTCCATCTGATATGATAACTTCTAATGCTTCTGTTGTCATTGCAACAGCTAATCCAGCTAAGCCATATCCAGATCCAAGTTCAATGACTCTTTTCTGCCTAAAAAGACAAACAGATGTGTAACTCAGATCACTTTCAGGTGCAAGGAAAAACATTCAACTTGTCATAGAACACATATGAAACCTGAACATGTCTGGATGTGACAAACAGTAGTAAGCAAGGACTTCCTCAGACGGCCATTGACCTATTCAAAAAGAAAGTTTCTAAATTAGGACAGCTTAGCAGCACTACAACAACAACAACTATGTCTCAATATTGCGCCAGTTGAGGTCGGCTACATGAATCCTCTCTATCCTTTAGCAGTAATCAAAGAAAAAAGTAGATTGACCTTTTAGGTTGATTGAAACTGAATGCACAATCTCCTGTACAATTAGCAAAACATACTTCAATTTGATAGTAAAGGTACTAGAGGAAGCCTGTCCATTTAAACAAGTAGAGAAGACATTACAGCCTGAATTTTAGGCCCAAAAGCAGCTTATAAGCTCCACAGTTGAGCTTTTACCAACATATTTGTGCTGAAATTTAATAAAGTAAAAGTGCATTTACACATTTAAGAAACACTTTAAAAAACCATTTTTCATACGGTAAGTACCTTTTATCCTCAAATGCTTTGCAAAATCGAAGGGGAGCCTTGGCGTAACTGGTAAAGCTATTGCCATGTGACCAGGAGGCCACGGGTTCGAGCCGTGGAAACAGCCTCTTGCAGAAATGCAGGATAAGACTGTGTACAATAGACCTTTGTGGCCAGGCTCTTTCCTGAACCCTGTACAGAGCGGGAGCTTAGTTGATCGGACTGCCCATTTTACTTTGCAAAATCAAAGAGAGCCATCACATACTCTTTGCTCATTTGTCATCAAATCACAGGGACCTCAAAGTCCAATTTATGTCGTCTTCTCTATCATTTATTTGTCCACATCTTGTTTTGTCTCCTTTTTAGACATATTCTCTTATTCTTGAAATTTTGACTACAAAGTTCAAAAGGTGTATGTCAAAACTCTTGCCTTTACAAAATATCCTCTTTAAAACTTTTTCAACTTATTCTCTTATTCTTTGAAAGTTCTGACTAAAAATTTCAAAAGGTCTATGTCTTCTTAAAACATTTGCCTTTAAAAGAAAAATGTCCACTTTTATAAGAATAGACAAGTTTCTCATACACTGTTCTATTTGAAAGAATAAGAGATCGTTTCAAATAACTCCGAGGCTAAAGAAAACTATTTTACGTAGAAAAAAAACAGGGTATTAAAACAAGGACAAGCTACTTCATTCAAATCTGGAAGCATTTGGCTTTTCTTATGGCATATGAAGAGGGATATTGCTGAAGCAAGTAGTCAGTCCTTCACTTCATCTGACAATAGTACGGAGTCATATATATTACTCTTTCTAAGCAATGAATCACTTCATTGATAAATTATCCAAGTGTTTGGGTGATATAAGATTAATTAGCTCTACTCCTCGCAAACTCAAAGAACAAATGACAACAAAGGCGCCTCAGTTTTACTTCACAAGGTTTCCTGCTAGCATTCAGTCAGACTTCAAATAAGGGAGAAAAATGGTTTCTCCATGGACACATTCTATTATACTACGCAAAGGTAAAAACTTTGGGATGTCCTTTTTTATGGGGGCACCCCTCTAGATGCATCTAATCATTATGCCTCTTCATTAGATGCATAATGATCTTTTCCGTAACCTGGAATTATAGATCCTTGAATAACTAAAGCTACCGCTGAGGATCATGAATTCTAGTGTTAATTAAAGATTTCTCATTTAACTAGAAACATAATGACTCAAATTGGAAAAAGAACAAATCAGCTGTTCCCGGAGTCTGTGAATTAGGATTCTGAGTTTACAAAATAACCAAAAAAGAAAGGAAAAAAAAAAGGTTAGATTTGGTAGATACTTACAGACAAGCCCAGTGTTGTCAATATCATATTTGTTACAGACCTCAAAGTCACTCAGATCTGCGATCTCATCCACTCTCTGACTGCATCAAGTTCTAAGCATTAGAAACCATCAGAGCAGATGCATAATCAACCAGGTTGTTATAAATTGTAACCATTAACGAAACAATTACTGTTGCTTAATTTTGCAAGGGAGAAAAACCACAACATTTGCACCAGGAAATGAAATGGATACAAACTTGATATACTTTTCAGTTATAACACAAAGCATTTGGCTTCCATGAGAATGAAACAAACCCAGAAAGAGTTAGAAACTTTGAAATGGAAACTCACCGGAGAAGAAGTTGAGGAGAATTAGCAACAGGCAATGTGTAGCAGAAAACAGCATCTCGCGAATTGTGCAGCTGATTATTTTCTGATAAAGAAGAATCCAAGATTTCATCAGGGGAATCTTTCATCACACGGCATGGTATCAAATTGAAGCTGTGGGTAGCCTTTCTTGATACTCGCTGAATACCCACTTCAGATTGATTATCTGAAAAAACACCCAATTCAGTTCAGATGATCAAAGATTAAAACTTTGACAAAAATGGGCTACACATATATGTTTTGCTAGACCTGAATTGGATGAAGGACCGCCAAGAATAGCACGTTTAAGAATCTTCCATCTAAGAGATGATGCATTACTTGTTGAAGTCGATCTACTATTTGCTTCCATCTTCCCAATCCTTGGCCTGCTATTGCCACGTCTTACAGTTTCTCCGTATTTCACGTCACAGTTCTTACTGCCGAAACTACGACATCGTATAGGGCGCATCCCCATATTTCACCAAATTCTTCATAAATTTGAAGGAAAAATGTACTATTTGTTATGAAATAAAAGCAATTTAGTAAAACATGAACAAGAAATAGAGATAGAAAGAATGAAGAGATTTTTTTCTTCAATTGTGTATATTTTCCTATCTATTACAAGGCCTTTATATAGGCATAAAAGTGAAGAAAATATGTCATGGAATATGTCATTGAACATACAAATTATGTCATTGAATATGTCATTAAGCATTTTAGATGAAGATCCACCATAATGTGATATTCATCATAACACTCCCCCTTGGATGTCCATAGATAATGTGCCTCATTAAAAACTCTCTAAAAAAAATATTGGGATGTACATAGTTATTTATGATATGCATTGTTTGTTGCCTCATTAAAAACCTTACCAGAAAAACCCAGTGGGACAAAACCTTGGTTAAGGAAAAGAGTGCAGCGTATAGTTACTCCCCCTGATGAAAAATCACTTAATGTCTCGAAGACGACGCATTCCAATCTTATATATCAGCTTTTCAAATATTGAGGTTGGTAATGCCTTAGTGAACAGATCAGCCAAATTATCACTTGAACGAACTTGTTGTACATCTATTTCACCATTCTTCTGAAGATCATGAGTGAAAAAGAATTTTGGTGAAATGTGTTTTGTTCTATCTCCTTTGATATATCCTCCTTTCAATTGAGCTATGCATGCAGCATTGTCTTCATACAATATTGTTGGAATATTCTCTTTCGAAGAAAAACCACATGTTTGCTGAATGTGTTGAGTTATAGATCTTAACCAAACGCATTCTCGACTTGCTTCGTGAATGGCTATTATCTCTGCATGATTTGAAGAAGTAGCAACCATAGTTTGTTTTGTCGAACGCCATGATATGGTTGTACCTCCACTTGTAAATAAATAGCCTGTCTGAGATCGACCTTTGTGTGGATCAGACAAATATCCTGCATCTGCATAACCAATCAATGATGGCTTGGATTCGTTTGAATAAAATAAACCCATATCAATGGTCCCTTGGAGGTATCTGAATATATGTTTAATACCATTCCAGTGTCTTTGTGTTGGCGAAGTACTAAATCTTGCCAATAAACTTACTGAAAAAACTATATCTGGTCGGGAATTATTGGCAAGATACATTAATGCCCCAATTGCACTAAGATATGGTACTTCGGCACCAAGAAGCTCTTCATCATTTTCATGAGGTCGGAATGGATCTTTCTTTATATCAAGTGATCTCACAACCATCGGGGTACTCAATGGATGTGCTTTATCCATATAGAATCGCTTTAAAATCTTTTCGGTGTATGTTGATTGATGGACAAATATTCCATCTTTCATATACTCAATTTGTAGACCAAGACAAAATTTTGTCTTTCCAAGATCTTTCATTTCAAATTCTTTCTTCAAACAGTCTACTGTTTTTGGAAGCTCCCCAGGAGTTCCAATAATATTTAAATCATCAACATACATAGCAATTATAACAAATTCAGATTCAGACCTTTTTATAAAGACACAAGGACAAATTGGATCATTCTTGTACCCTTCTTTCAACAGGTATTCACTCAGGCGATTGTACCACATACGACCTGATTGTTTCAATCCGTATAAAGATTTCTGAAGCTTTATTGAACAAGTTTCTCGAAAACTTTTATATGCTTCTGGCACTTTAAATCCCTCAGGTACTTTCATAAAAATTTCGTTGTCTAATGATCCATACAAATAGGCTGTAACAACATCCATTAGATGCATATCAAGTTTTTCTTGCACTGCCATATTTATGAGATACCTGAAGGTGATAGCATCCACTACAGGAGAATATGTCTCCATATAATCAATTCCAGGCCTTTGGGAAAACCCTTGTGCCACAAGTCGTGCTTTATATCTAACGACTTCATTTTTATCATTTCGTTTCCGCACAAAAACCCATTTATACCCTACTGGCTTTATGCCTTCAGGTGTTCGAACTATGGGTCCGAAGACTTCACGTTTTCCAAGTGAAGTTAACTCTGCCTGGATAGCGACTTTCCAATTTGGCCAATCATTTCTCTGTCTACATTCATTGACAGATTTTGGTTCAAAATCCTCATCTTGTTGCATTATTTCAACAGCAAAATTATAAGCAAAAATGTTATCGATAACAACATTATTTCGGTTCCATCTTTTCCCGGTTGAGACGTAACTTATTGATATCTCTTTATTTTCATTATTTTCAGGTACCTGGACCTCCCCTAAGGTCTTATCATTTGTTATATCTTGGGGCTATTTTTGAGCCACTACCTCCGTGTTATGTTCACTTTGATCATTTGCTCCTTTCTTCTTCGAGGATTTTTATCTTTAGAACTGATTGGTCTACTACGTTTCAAGCATGGCTTAGACTCATTTGCTTTAATTAATTGTCCTGCCGGGATATCAACTCGAATTGGTGCATTAGCAGCTAGAATATGTGACTTGGTCACCCTTGGTAGGTCAGTGAATGCATCTGGCAATTGATTTGCAATATTTTGCAAATGAATAATCTTTTGAACCTCTTGTTCACATTGATTTGTTCGAGTATCTAAATGAGACAGTGATAATGCATTCCAATCTATATTCTTTTTCAGCTGCTTATTTTCTCCCCCTAATGTTGGATATACTGATTCATCAAAATGACAATCAGAAAATCTTGCCATAAATAAATCTCCAGTCATCGGCTCTAGATATTTTATAATAGAAGGAGATTCATATCCAACATATATCCCCAACCTTCTTTGAGGACCCATCTTTGTGCGTTGTGGTGGAGCAATTGGAACATATATCGCACAACCAAAGATCCTAAGATGGGAAATATTTGGCTCCTGACCAAAAGCCAATTGCAATGGGGAGACTTTATGATAACTTGTGGGCCTTATCCGCACAAGTGATGTTGCGTGCAAAATAGCATGACCCCATACTGAAATGGGAAGTTTTGTTCTCATAAGCATTGGTCTAGCAATTAATTGGAGGCGTTTGATCAATGATTCTGCTAGACCATTTTGTGTATGAACATGAGCAACCAGATGCTCAATTGTTATCCCAGTTGAAATACAATAATCATTAAAGGCTTGGGATGTAAACTCACCAGCATTATCAAGATGGATTGTATTAATTGCATAATCTGGAAATTGTGCTCTTAGCTTTATTATTTGAGCCAACAATCTCGCAAAT